CTCGACTTTTGGCTCTGGAAACTGAGCTGCAAGAACATGTGCAGAGTGCTTTTGCATTATTAGTGACGCTGAATCTCAGTCTCTGCTGGATACAGGTGATGTATGAATGTAGAGATCTGTCGAGATCGGTGCAGACTTACACTGCCGTTATTATATTGATGAATTAGAACAGAATGTCAAGACAGTGAAAGACAAGCCAGCATGAAGTGTGAGGTGGTGTTTTGGTAGACACTGTGACTGTGTTGTTTCTGATGGACTTCCTGTTCAGAGTCAGTTCATCTCCTCCACGCTTTGCTTGCTGATTTAGCATTTGTTTGTTCTGGGGAGAACACTGCGGTGCTCTCGGGGTTGTGGGGTGGCCCACACAGTGACGTCGGGCGTGTCGGCTCTAGGACAACCACCACTGTGTAGAAACAGACATAACATTTTAATGTGCCTTTTCCCCCCACGACACTGACCTACTGTCTGGTCCTGAAGCATTAGTTGATTAGTTGTTTTATGTGACAGTACACGTGCTAGTGCAGGGTTCATGCCTGTGACCTTGGGGGTTTGTCTTTTCCTCTAGACAAACAGATTCGTGAAGTGACACATGTGCTTCACTGTTCAGTCGTCAGCAACAAGCCTCAGAGGCCACAGGTGTGCACAGGCAAGCATCTTCTACTCAACCGCTGTTTCCACTGCACTGCAAATGTATTTGCTTTGTCTTTGATTGAAGATTTTGTTGGTTGGTTTGTTTTTGGTGCTACTGCTGATGTCTGGGTGGAATTCGCTCCAAAGACACGCAGCTATAGTTCACTGCAGAGCTCAGCAAAGGAGCAACGTTCAAGTCTCAAGTTTAACAAAAGTGAGTAAATAAATAAAACAGAACCAGAGAGGGCTTGAATATTAAAGTACTAGGCCACAATGCTTAAATGACTACGACCTTGTCACATGAAAGAAAAGTAGTGGCAGAAGATTTCTGCAAAAATGGAGACAAACATGGATGAGGCCAACACAGCTATACAAGTTGGATAACAAACATAAAAACTCTTTGATATGTTTCTTTTGGTAAATGGGCTTCTACTTGTAAAGCACTTTTCTATGTGTCACAACACACTCAAAGCACTTTCACACTATTTGTCCACTCACCCACTCGCATTCCCAAGCACACAGACACACCAGTGATACCACTGGGGGCAACTGGGGTTCAGTGTCTTGGACACTGACATGTGGACTGGAGAAACTGGGAATCGAAACACCGACCGTCCAGTTAGGAGATGACCCGCTCCACCTCCTGAGCCACATCTTTACAGATGATTAAACCTTACTGTTCTCAGCAACCGGTGTCAACTGAACATAAGATTGGAGAGAAGGATGGTTAGGGCTAAACCAAAGCCGGATAAACCCCCCACCAAGGCAAAAAGTGGGTAACATGAACACAATGTCAGGCTCAATTAATAAAGTGAGCTGAAACAGTAAAACAGATTGATTATCAGGATAATTAATGGCTCTGTGAGCGGAGTCCATGCTCGTAAGCTCAGTGTTGAATTTGTGGGGTTTACGCTGACACGGGACCACAAATGAAGGTCGAGAAAAATAAAAATGCTGTGAAAAATTAGCCAGCTTTTAAAAAGCCTCTCGAAGAAGCAAATTAATCAAATCCAGGTACTTCCTCTGTTTTTGAAGTCTTTAGCTTTACCTAAGCAGGTCTTCAATGGCTGCTAATGTAACCTGATTCTAGAATTTAAGTAAAAGGTTAAAAGGTCTTAAACAGTAGTGATATGACACAGATTCATCACTTCAGCCATATTGTCACCTCAGGTTTTCAGTTGTACTGAAAGGTGACACCGCTCTT